CTTTGCTCCTCAAACAAACCAGTTCCCCTGCTGCTTCTTGCTAAGCCAGCGACACCTCTTCCCTTACTGCTCACCTCATCAGAGTAGCATTGCTAGCCTCAGGCATCTGGGTCAAACCATGCACTCATTTCCAATGCTCTAGGGCCCTGCAGTCAAGGCTGAAGTCTCCCTGAATATAATTTGATTTTAAAAATACTTTTTTTTTTTTTTTTTAAGAAAAAAAACCTGATTACAAAAATGCCCTGGCCTGCTCCTTTCACCACCAATTCATTTTTGCAAGTCAGCTGTGATGGACTGGATGGGCTCTCCTAATTCTGGAGATAAACCTTTGAAAACAATAGCATTTTGAAATGTCACACTGAATATGCAAGGTGCTGCACACACATTTCCACTTACACTTTGCATCTTTTTTTCACAGATGTGAAATGCTACACAGGATGTCACAAAGCAAAGGAAAATGCTTTTTCCAGAACTCAAAGACTCATACAGGCTGAATCTTTTTTTTTTTTCCCCTCCTTAAAATTGGGAGGATTAGTGCAATCATAAAGCTGAAACAAACCCCTTGAACACCTAACAGGCAGTAAAGTTACAAAGGCTCAGTTATTCCAGGATATTCAAGGAAACAAGTCACATATACCCGTTTAAATCCTCTGCTTTACACAGAATTTTGTGTACTGTTTCATGTGTATCAGTCCATCACCATTCAATCGATAGCGCAGTTGAGTCAGGAACTGCTACTGGGTCAGTAAGGTGCCAAGGCAGGCTGGTCAGTCCACCTCCAGCAGTACACACGGACAGAACAACTGCGTGCAGACCAAAAGCCCAGCCAGCATCCCGTCTCTAACAGGGAACAAACCCCAGATGCTCTTTGCTCACCTGTGATACTCTCCCCTAACACTATTAGCTAGCAATGACCTTCAGTTCAGAAGCTTCCTGAGATGGTTTCTATATATTAAGAGTATTAAGAGAGTCTCGGTAGGTATCCTTCTCGAACTTGCCCAAACTTCTCTTGAACCAGTATGCAGTTTTAGTATACAGCACCCTCTGACACAGAATTGCACACTTCAGTTTTCGGTCGCATGAACCACTACCTTCTTCCTCCTACTCTAGCCCCTGCATGCCTCACCTGATGCCACTCACTCTTGTACTAGAGAGAGTAAGAAATCAACCCTCCCAGCTTCTCCGTGAAACGTTATTTCTTCCCCAGTCGCACCTTTTGCAGACTGAAAAATCCCAGCCTACTTAGTCCTTCTTGAAGCAGAAGCCATTACAGACCTCTGACCATCCTCACTCCCCTTCTCTGCACATTTTTAAGGTGAGAGACCAGATCTGCACTGTTCAAGATGTGAGTAAACCCTGGCGTCATAGAGTGACACAGTGATGTTCTTCATTCTGTTACGTATTTCGTCGTGAATTCTTCGTGTTTTGGGAAGGAGGCCGTTTCAGTTTTGATTACTGTTCAGTAAGGAGCTGACGATTTCATCCCGAGGACTTTGTTCCAGAGCAGCAGCAACCAACCCAAGAGCTCACCAAGATGCATACGAAGTTCAGATTTTTTTCCCTGCACGCGCATCAGTACAGTTACCCACACTGAGCCAGCGGGTTAAGAAGAAAATGCCAAGTCATGCAACTTAAGTAATGTGGTAACAACTTCTTCGTAATGTCATGTTACAATGCCTAAAAATAGCTTAAGCATAAGATTTTACTTCTTTCCACGTTTTGCAAATAATTGTAATGATTTTGTATACTTAGATTATGCTTAAAAACATTCCATTTTTCTTTAATTATGCCCAAATTCTCAACACAACCACTTTCTAATTATAGTTTAATTAGACTACACTGTGATTACATGTTGCATGAAAAAAAATTCTTAAATCAGCTTTGGATTTGCCAGCCTTTATCTTAATTGGATGTTATTATTCATTTGTGTTGACACAGAGGAAGTGAAAAATGAGAAAAATCATCCCTTAAAACAGTCAATTTGCAGAATTTTCATGTATTGAGCACTGTACCTTGAACAGTCACAGCTCCGTACTAGCATCGAGGCTTTGCACCTTTGCTGTGCCACACAGCAAGCACTTTGGTCTCAGGAAAGCCACTACAAATTGAAGATGCTTGACACTAAAGCTGACCAGGTTCTTCATCGAGTTGTGATTTCTAAAGGAGGCTAAAGACTGGGCTGCAAGGCACCTCAAAGCCTTTACAGAGCACTAATTTAAAACATTTTTACATGTTTCAAAGAGCTGCTGCGAGGAATTAATTCCACAGTAAATGTCACCACTAGGAAACTGGGAAATCGCCACACATATAACAAGCCCGAGTAATGGTGTCAGGTACGGAACAAAGGCTTTAACACAGCAAATTAAACAAAATTCCTGTCATAAAGTTTCTGATTCAAAGAGAAGGAGACGTAATTATTTCTGTGGCGTTTAACTGAACAAGTCATGGTTCAGAAGACATCCCGAGAGACATCAGACGTATGCTGAGGAAGAGAAAATAGAAGAATGGTATTGCAGGGGCGGGAGGGGCGGTGAGCGAGGGGTAAATACAGGTAAGCAGAAGATTTTGCACTTTCCTGAGAAGACAGACCAAAGCTGACAACAGACCAGAGGCAGCATCAGAGGCTGGATGAACAGGAGGCCAGCAAAGGCTGGCAAGGAGGGCGCTGCACTCAGGTCTGCTGAAAAGCCAGAGAAACCTCCTTCATTTCGCAGAATGAGTACGTTCTGTAAGGGATTTAAAAGCTAACTAAAAAGGAGGAAGAGAATGCTCACGGGAGTTTCCAAGGTGGTAGGGACAGGCTTGTGAACAGACAGGGAAGGAAGCAGCGCCAGAAAGGTAAGTACCTTGAATTCGAAGGAGCAACAAAACATCCAATAGAAAATGAACTGAGAATAGAAAAAAGGTTCATTAGAGAGATAGATTTTGAGTTTTCAGCATCTAGGATGTACTTAGCAAAACAAAAAAAGCCCATCTTAAGGAAAAAATAAATAGTGCCAAACTTGAGGTCCATGAGGAAAATGCGGCACACGGGGTGGGGGAGAATATTACTTCCTATGGAGGGACTGAAAAGAAAAGAAAGCAGTGTATTTTGTAGGGAGACAAGTCTGGCTGAGACAGGAAATCTGGGAACACATCCCAGCCAAATCTTAGACAGAAAAACACTCATTTTATGCTGGAGACCATGTTGGTGAGAGCTGGAGAGAGACCATGCTTTGGAATGATGAAAAAAGCTTTCCAAAAAGTATGTTAGAAACTGCGTGTAAAGGAACTCTAGGTGAGGGATGTGCTCAGACCTGACAGCTTAGGACCAAAAAAAAGAAAGGGGAGCCACGTCACAGCAGTCTGTACCAGGCACAGCTCTACAGCTGCTTCCCTTGCCTCAGAACTGCTAACAAGTGCAGAACATTTTTTATTACCTGCTGTTCCTCTGAACGTTTTCCAAATATATCATTAGCAATGCAACCATAGCCGGTTTCCCCTTCATGGGATTTCTCAGAAATCCAAAGACAAGATTTGTCCTTTGCAATTCTCATCATGGTCACCATGTGTGCCTTCAGACAGTGTTTTGGGTGGCAGATGTGGGTGAGATGGCCCAAGTCAGAGAAAGCTGAGAGAACTGCCTTCATGCCCAAACGGCAAAATCTCCTGGCTCAAAGACACAAAGCACTTTCCCCTGGTGTTTGCGTTATTAATCAAAATACACAAAATGGCATCATTGCTCTCCCCACCCACGATGACATTACATCTTACCAACACAGACACCATCCCATTCCTGTCGGTGGGAGAAGCACAGCCATGCACACTGCACAGTTGAACAGAGGCCATGGTCAAGCAGCAAGTAGGAAGGCTGGTAGGAACAGAGCAGTCCTCAGACTGTGAAGCTGGGTGGAGGCCAAGAGCTACTGCACAGCAATTCCTGAACCACAGAGCCAAACAGGGCTGTGATCCCCTAGAGGCTCAGGACTCCCTAGGAAGCTAAACCTGTCACAGGCATGGTGACAACACAAGGAACTCCAACCAACAAAACCACTCCCAAATCTTCAAATCTCAGCAAAGAATTCTTAACAACGTATTAGGAAGGGGAGAGACTTCCCACTGTGAACAGAGAGATCCACACTTTACTTCCCTGAACATCCGATAGTCTAAATGCAGCTGCACGTGTCTCTCTTCCACATGGCCTGGTCAGGAAGTTGTGGAATTTGGAAAGCTCCATTATAAACAACTTCAGAGGCATGCTAATCCCTACCTAATTCACCACGCTGCCTGAAAGGTCCCTTTCTCTAGCCCTCTCCCTGAATGACAGCACATTTGAAACATGGTGAGTTTGGGGCAAAGTCACCGGCAAAATCACTCCATCAGTCTCCTAATAAGTGTGTGATGTACACAGCCCGGAGTCTCCGGCCAGAGACTTCAAGACCACCTTATCTGACATTTGCAAAAAGCCTCCAGGAATCTGGAAGTGAAAAACTGAAGTGCAGCCTTTGTGAAAAGTAATGCACAGGGAGTGCATATTCCTCAATGTACAAGCTGGCTTAAAATACATTCTCACATAGCGGTTATCAAAAAGGTCAGATTTTTGTCTACTATGGCCTCCAGCTCCTGCTGTAGAAATTGAAAACAGTTACCTACCCAAATCCAGTGTCACATCTCCTACTATACTAGTTCAACCACAGACACAGCAAACTCCCATTAGCTCAGCTCTTGCAATGATGTCTCAAGGTTAAATTCTGCTCAGAATCCACAAGGCTCCGAGCGTATGTACGAAACAACACGACCCCCGCAACCCTGCCACAATATGCCAGTGCGTATTGTTGCACAAGGTGGACCTCTTCTGGTGAAGAGCTTGTGCTCCAAAACACCTGGTTTCATCAGCCAAGCAGAAGTCTACAGCGATCACAACGTTATACAGCTGCTTTTAAAAGAAACTAAAGCAGACGGTGGGGCGAAGGGGAGCAGCAAGCCAGAGGGAACTGCAGAGCACACATGTGAGTCCTTACCTCAAAGAGTGTCAAACTTTCATCGTCCAAGATGATTCTGGGAGGTGCAATAACTGAAGTTAAAAAACAAGTTACAAAACAGGACCACCCAGCAACCAGAACAATAAATACAGCAGGTATGGGAGGGATTACTGCTCTGTAAAGCAGCGACATATTCACACTGCCCACATCAGCTTCTTATTAGGCAGAAGCGTAATGTGGCTGAGGGAGCTGGTTACACCGCCTTTGCACTCGGAGGCTGTATTTAGGGAAGGAATTCCTCCCCAGGTCGTACTCCACAGCATCACAAGATCCCACGTGCACCACAGCTAGGAGTAGGCTTTGTAAAGGAAGGCCAAATACCACCACCAGCACACTCACACAGGTAAAATGGCAAGTCCGCATCTGCAAGGTGGCTTCTTACAAAGTCTCTCAAAACGCCAACTGTGAAAAAAGGAGAGAAAGGTTTGCTGAATTACATTTGTTTCTTCAGATGCTGGGCGAAAAGGCTAACCTGTACCAGCAGAGCTGCCCTCTACAATTTCTGTAATTGCCTTTTCCTCACAAGAACAGTGTTACTATTACAAATACCTTGGAGAAAAGAAAAAAAACACACAAAAAAAAACCCAAAAAACAAAAACCACTTAAGACATGCTGGTCCCTTAGCAAAATCTAAGGATGCCAGTGAAGTTCTTCCTGGGAAATCTAATAGCAGCTGCAAGGTCTGCAGAGACCAGCCAGGTGAGACCCCAGTAACTAGTTATTAGTTCTTGTTCCACACGGAAGCGTCAAAAAATTGTGTGGGTAACCCATCGCTGCCAGCTGAGAATGAGAGGATCTCAGTTAATAACAGTGAGAGCTACGTGGTGTATGGTCTGACCGCCTTTTGTGAACTGACAGAGGCAGAAAGGTTCGTCCCCTGTAATTCTTATTACAGCTTCTTTTTCTTCTTCCTCTTTTTTTCGGTTTTGTTTTGGATTCGGGGGGTGGTATTGTTTTTTCCCCAAAACTTCTGAGGCTTTAACATAAAGAAGTGTCCAAACTCACCTCAATAACGTACCATTTGGACACAAGCAATAGGATATCAAGTAGGACACTTTCCTGAGCACAAATATTTTGCCATCAAGTAGCCTGAGAGTCTCCGTCAAGTGGTCCTGGAAACACATTGCCCATAACTAAGTTAATTAGCCCAGACCCTTTTCTCATCCAGCTCAGGGGCCCTATAAAGACAGTGTAGCTAACTACTGCTGCTTTTTCAGAGCAGTATTCCTTCCCTGGACAGCAGAAAGATCTGTCCAGAGTCAGTCTCTTCATCATCCAACTAATCAATAATGCGAGAGGTTAGCTGCAGCTACGCAGGCTGAAGCCGACATCGCTCTTACCGGTTTCACTAGGACGGAAGAACCCCTGCAGAACATGACGGTCTGGAAAGTGGACTCTCAACACCACCTAAGTCAGAGGCAAAGCACGTTAGGTCAATTGTTTACAGCTGTTCTGTCCTTGGCGTAGAGTTTGTGAGCAAGGTTGTTTGGGGTTTTTTTTAAATAGTGAGATTTGAGGTATTTACTCGACACAGGTACAACAGCGTACTGGCTAACAATCACTGTGCAGCTCCTCAGAGAACATGCACTGTCTGGCTTTCAAAGGCCGTAAGAGAGCTGATCTACAGAAACAGCATGATGTACAATGCATCAGCACCTACTCAGAGTAGGAGCTCCCTGTGTTAAGTGATGCACAAACAAAATGGAAAGTCACCCACCAAGAGGTACAGACAGCATATCGGTATCTGGAAGGAAGACAAAGGAAGAGGGAACCCCCCTGCCATATGTCTGAAGTAACTCATACCATTCTATTTCCAGCGCTGATCAGGAAGTACTTAACTTGGAAACTTAATCTTTCATTTTTTTGCATCACCAAAGACAAAAACTGCATTAGGATGCTATTTACAGAGTAAAGTATCTCCAATCTGTAACATCTTAGCATTTAACTTGTAATGAGATACTATAAAAACATAAGAGTCTACAACAAGAGGCAGACAGGAAGGCTCAGCCATACAGACTGACGTGTGCACCACGTAAGGGTTTTGAAAGATCTGGAACAAAACAAAAGGAGCTATATCGCCCGCCACTCAAGCGTGTCATTACAGGCCAGCTGATCTTACATGGTACAGCTGTTATGCAAGTCCCACAAACCATTAACAGGGACAGGAATTTGAAAAGTCTTCCTACAGGTGGTTCAAGATCCTGTGGATCACAATTGATGCCCAAAGTTACTCAACCCCCAAGCCTGGAAGAGCCAGAGGGACTGGAAAAAGAACAAAGGCTACCTTTGGGTAACGCTCTAGTTTTTCCTTCAGCTGAGCCTCCCTCAAAGATTTTGTCATCAGTGGAGCTTCTTCCAGGCGTTTCCTAGATACATGGAAAGAAGACAAGCTGTCACTTTTGTCATTTTAAGATGTATTTTTACTTTCTTAAGAAAGAGAAAGGTCCAAGCAGGGCTGATGAGAATTGTGCAACTGTTCCATGTATCCCTCATGGCGTTTATCCCCACCTCCTGTGGTTCCTACTCCAAAATCTCATATATGGAACTACTAAGCATCAGCAACAATACTACATAAAATTACGTTTCTTGTACAGGTTTAAAAATAAGTTCACTAGAGCAGATGCCAGAAAAGATACTAAGAATAGCAGGGGAATGTTTGCTTAGACTACCCAAGAAGAGATGGACTTGTTAATCCAATAGAACAGGGACTAAAGTTGGACATGATTAGTCCAGGGAGGGAGAAGAGCTACTGAAGCTGAAAAACAATGCTGGCACAAGAAATTAATGGGTATTAATTAGCAACAGGGAAACAAAACAAAAATGAGAAGTTTCAGGTCATTCAAGAACTGGCATTGTAGACTGGGGTTTTAAAAGGAGTAGTGGCTGCAAAAAAAACCTACCTGTATTTAAGACGAAACAATAAATTCAAGGAAATTACTATATATTGTCCTGTAGGTAAAGAAATGAGCTTAGATCCAACAGGTCCCATGTTCAGCTTTAGTCCCTTTTCCTTGTTTGCACTTAATTCTGAATAACCGATTTATTAGGCTGGATTTGGGTGAAACAATTGATCATATAATTCTACACAACTATGTGCAAGTTAATCTCTCACACCTATACAGTTTGAAGGACCTCTTTTTATTTCTAAGAATCATCAGGGTGTCTGGGGAGCAGCTGCTGGACACCACAATTGCAGGCTTACTTCACCACCCGTACCCCAAACTGTCAGCTGGTGCACCACGCTCCAAGATGCTCTGACAGGGCCAGCTGCAATCTGAAAAGCAAACGTGAAACTAACCTGCTCCGTTCCTTTTGTGTGCACCAAGTGCTGGTTCATACCAATTCCCAGCTCTTCATGAAGCCAGAATTAAATTCTAATTTAAAATATTGCATTGTATGCAGCTAGTTTTTGTTAAGATTCACTAGATGAGATCAGAAGCCAACTGGTATCAGTTTCATGTGTAACTTGCCTTTATTTTTATCCCTAGCTGTGAGGGGAAAAGGGATTACAAGCATCAGCAAATTTGGAAATTAGGTCTTTTTTTGAGGGGGTTGTATTCCAGTAACCCCCAACCAAACGATCCTACATTTATACCACTAAATACTCCAGACCCACAAGTGTCAGAGCAATTTTCAGGCCAATCTGTGTACTCATGTGGATTTCAGCGGCCTGTGGGGAAAAAAAAATCAGCTCTAAGTAAAAAGTTCAACTCGGACTTGGTTACAGCATAAAGTAGGCTGTCCCACAGTCTCAGAGCATGCCTGTAATGTTTAAAGGGATGTTACGATCCGCTTGAAACTAAATACATTCGTGAAATTAATTTCTTTCAGGAACACATAGACAACAAAACACTGTTGTGATAGGGCGCCTAGTTTATCTTCATCTGAGTTTTTAGTCCAGAGCTGGAATAAAAGTACTGTAAAATCATGAATATTTGACAGCAAGCTACTTGAACAGCGAGATGCATAGTTAGTCCAGCTTCCTATCCTCCCTCCCCCTCCAAATATTCTCATGTTGTGATTTGTGACTAAGTTTGATTTTGTTTTATTTCCATTTGGGTAATGTCTCAAAGTCTTTTCTGATGAGGTCTAATAAAAGGTTAATTATGTTACTTAAAACACAAGCTGTTTCTTACTGGGTGAAAATGCTACTAGCTACTACTGAAGCCAGTGGGAGTTAGTCATATGAAGCCGGATCATTGTGTTCATATATTTGCCCACGACAAGTTACAAATTCCATCCATTTGATTCCCAATCGTTAACATGAAGTCAGATCAAAACAGAGAGCAGGAGCTCACCGCTGCTTTGGGCCTCTATCAAATGAGAGCACATCTAATTGCAAAGGTAGTGGCTTCTCTTTCAGAAGGGAGAAGGAAAGAAAGAAGAGGAGGCAGGGTGTTAAGTGGCTTTGAGTAACTCCCTGAAATGCAGCATACGGGAAGGAGTCTTTCTCTTAGTCCTGTCTCAGTGAGGGCCCATCCCTGATTAGCTTGAGGTTCTCAGATAAACTTATCACCGCATACGCATCACAGACACTTACATATGCACCACAGACACTTCATGATGAGATTTTCAACGTCCACGTGAAACCATTATCCCATGTACAAATGCTCAACCGATTTACACAATAACATAGGTTCTGTTACAGAAACATGACATAGCCCTTGATCTCAAATGACATAAAGGGTAGAGACTTCCAGTGCCGATTACTAATTCATCAATTCCACACCCAGTGACTTATCTACAGCCGTTTACCCAGAGATCACAGCCAGCTATAGATGCATAGGGTCACTGCTCAACAGAGGGATATGGAGCAATCTTGTCGCCAGCAGAATAGAAACTTGCCTCTCACTCTGCAGCTGTGCCAAACGTTTCCGTACATCATCCACTGTGACTTCAAAAAACTCATCAGGAAACTCTTCTGGGCCAGCAGGAAGTGGTTGTAGTAGGTCTAGGTGACACACAAGCGGCTCTCGTTCTATGAGCTACAGAATAACAATGAGCTTTGATTAGTCTTAAATGCATTGCTTTGCCTATGCTATAGGGTTCCTGAAAAAAGTAAAAGGACAGTATCTGCAAACAAATACAATCACTAGTGTGGAATTAACGTCACTAAGATCAGACTGACGATACAGAGGTTGTTGCTGTTGCCATTTTTTGTAGTTGATAGAGCTTGGGAGCTGGATATCACGATGGCAAACCTCTCAGCATGATTGTGTCCTGGCCCATAACTGCGGTTGCAGTTATTAAAAAAAAAAAAAAAAAAAAAAAAAAGAAAAAAGAAAACCAGAAAACACCACCAAAACTCACAAGCCCCAAAAAACCCAAACCAAATCCCCAACACCCCCCAACTTATTAGGCAACATTCACTGTCTTTGAAGGGAGCATGACGTTACGTATCCCTCCCAGTTTAGAAGAGGTTAGATACTGGCTCCTACCCCTGACATCGAAAGCAGCCGCTGTGTCAGCATGTGAATACAAACCACTGCCAGAGTCAAATACACAAGAGGCAGTTACACCTATTGGCTCCTGAACAATTCAAACTTTTTAAATCACAGAAGTGTTTGAACACACGAAGCTGGAAAGCAAACAGAAGAGTGCACTGCAGGCTACAGAAGATGCACGGGGGAGGCAGCCCGCGACTAGAGCCCCACGAGAACAAGAACTTTGAGCGTTAATACAGAATTTCTTTACAGTCAGCTAACACAGCTCTAGGCTCTATGAACAAACCTGCTGCCTGTTTCTTCTCCCCTTATTCCCTCATATACTCTGTCCAATCCTAATCAATGCCCAAACGTCCTCCTCCATCTGTTCCATCCATTCTCCCTTCCCCCGGGCACAGGGCCCTCGGGAACAGAAGGAGCCTCCCTCAATTGTCAAAAGCGACAACACAAATTACAAGGCAATGTTCACTCTGCTTGTGGGCACTAAAGGGTAATTTGAGAAATTAAAAGAGCGAGGTTGTGTGGGTGGGACCCTCGGCTACTTTTAGAAAGTTGAGCGGGGTCAGCTCTAACGAGCGGGTGAAGGAGCCTGATTGCAGCTTTCCCGGGGCTCAGGGGGAGGAATGCCCAGCACTGCAGGAGTGATCCCGAGTGTGCGGAGCCACCCTCTGGGAAAGGGCCCATGGAACAATGGTCCTAACTGCTGCCAGTAGCTGGTCTGGTATGGTCAGATCGATGTCAGAGGCCAGAGGGGAATTAATCAGGCCTCCCCAATAATCAGGTGTACTTCAGTCTCCACAAATACGCTTAAGTTTCATTTCATTCTAAACACACACATACCGAAAATAGAATTCTCCATCCAAAAAAACCAAAACCCAGAAGACCGAGCAGGTGTATCCTGTGGCATGCTGTGAAGGGTGCTGGGATACAATGGGGAGAATTGCAATGTCTGCATTAGCAAATTCTAAACCTACCATTTAGTATTAGCTCTAGCAAGCACTTTAGCTAATCCTAACAGTAGCAGGATTCCACATGGAAAGCATCAGTCACTGCTCCAACCATGGCAGTAGCTAAAGACCTCAGCCAAGACATCAGAAATCAGAGATGGCAGAAGGCAGACATACATCCCAGTCCTGCGTTCACCCCTCTTCCTCGCTGTGTGCTCCCTGCTCCAAACCGCTCTATGTCAGAATTGCCATTCAAGTGTCACTTTCCAGACATCTTCCTTCAAACAAATGGGTGTCTGTGGCCAAGAAGGCACTGCAAAGGGGCAGTCAGGAACTTCCCCTCTCAGGCCATTCCCCAGCCTAGCAGAACTACCTGTGTGCTGTGATACAAAACCCACCGCTTCCCAGACATAAATGCCCTGTTCTTGATCTTGCGTCCAGCCAAGACATCCCTGTTTAACTCTCTGCAGGATACCTGGACTGGCCCCGCACAGACCACAGCTACCTTTTAGCTCCGAAGTCTGTAATTTTATCTGCTTCCCCAGCCAACACTGAATGCTGGACATCTTAACTTCCAAACCAAGACACATTACTTAGCTACTACTTAACGTGAAGAAACACTTTTTTGTACAGAAGAAGGAGCAGATCTGTGCATGTCTAATGACTGCGAAGACACACAATTAGAGTAAGAATTCCTTGATGTTGTATTTTCAGCTAACCACCAAAAACAGAGTGAGACTTCTGGAGAGGGCTGTAATGAGTGAGGGTTTGTGGCACATAATGCAGGTGGTTTGACTCAGACTTTCTGCAGCTCAATCCCAGAACTGCACAACAGGGTCTCATCAGAGAAGGGCAGCGCAAGGTGCCCGAGCATTGCTTAGCAGCCAAAAGACACCACCACTTTGCCACTGAGGATGCAGAGACTGCCACATCACAGTAGTATCGTAGTATCTCTTCTGCCATGTATTTAACACCCTGCGGCATCAACCATACATCTTACCTCCTTGCAGACATAAGAAACACCCGTCAAAGAGAGAGAGGTGTCCGTTCCTGTTCCCTCCCGAGGGCCAGCCTTCATCCTGCTCCCCTTTTCTCATCCACTACCATTTGCTCACTTCAGTATTCCAGTGAGGGACCTCTCAACCCGAGTACTCTCAATACCGCCTTATTTTAACATCTCACCAACAACCCTAACATGCAGACAGAATCCGAAAACTACCTTCCCGCAGCAATTTACAAAAAGGAGGCAAACAGGTACACCAACTCGCTTCCCAGCCCACTCACACCTAGTGTTTTCTGCGGCCGTGACAGAAGGTAGCCATCTCCTGTCACAACCAATGGCCACCATGCAGCAGTTTCTGCTGTCCGTGACATAACTCTGGGGGGAGAGCAAGCTGTGTGTTTTGCTGTCGTATTCCCGTCAGCGACGCTTTCCCGGAGCCAGAGGTGCTGCGCTACCATTTGTCACCTTCATTCTTCAAAGTCTCCCCTTCTGCTACCAAGGTCGAGAAGTTGGGCACCTTCCACCAGCAGGCTGAAGCCATCCGGTCACAGCAGCGCTACCAGGCAGCCCACGCCACCGTAGCCGATGCGGCAGAGCCAGGCGCCAGGGAGGACTCAGCTCACTCGCCGGTCGCCACCCCGGCCCAGGCAAGCAGGTAAACTGAGGCTTAGGCTTAAGCAGCGGCTGTTGAGCTTTCCAGAGCAGCAGGATCTCCCTGGGGACCCACCTCCTCCCCACCACCTCAGGAAGCTCTAATCTCATGGGGAATCTGGTGTAAAGTTACCTCCTAATAATTAATGTTCTGACATCAAAGTCAGCACGCAGCTGTCTGTAAATCATCTTTAGCCCAAGAAACGAAGGGACGCCGGCACAGATTTTATCCAGCTTCTCTCTTCAGCTTCAAAAACCACACACAGGCAAAGCATTAATGGGAAGATTCTTTTACAAAAATGGACCTTTGATGTTTAAAAATAATTTGTTTTGTTTTGGTTTTTTTCCTCAGGACTGAAAAGGGACAAAAAGCAGATGCCATGCGGCTGGCCCTGCTCTGCTGTTGCAGCTGAGAGCAAGGAGAGCGGAGGATGGCAGGAATGGAGGAGGGAACAAACTGTAATCAATCAGCAGCAAAAGCACCAGAGATCAAAGGGCTTGAAAGCAGCAGTCAAAATCACATGCTGTTTAACACAAGGGCAGAACCCCCCCAACAGAATCTGCAGCTGCTTCCAGAGCTGCGCTCCAGCGGGAAGGGAGGCTGGCTCCAGCAGTGCCTCGGAGTGGTTTGAACTGGACTGCAATTCTGAGGAAGACGCCGGATCACGAGAGTCCTTAGGCCACTGCTGTTCAGCTCTGTGTCCAACTACACAACTTCACACCAAGCTGTAGCCAGCAGAATGGTAAAGTGAGCTCTGCCTCTCCAGCCAGCATATGGGGAAGCGAAGACAACAGGACCGGTGCAGAATACCACCGCAAACCCTTGCACTTCTTCCTTCCTTCTTTTTCAGACACAACTGAAGCTCCTTCTCTCCAACCCCTCCTAGGTGAGAGTGCGATTGAAGCCAGCAACACATTAGACTGGACAAATCACCCAGCCTACTGTTTAGTTTTCCATGCTCAGGGTCTGTTCCAAAGGTTAAATAACACTGATTAGATGGACCCAAACATGTCTCTAATATACCGAAACATTCACCACTGGGTTGGCAAGGCCTCTTTCTGCTACATTTGCAATTGCTCCAGAGTCCTTCCAGAGCCTGGCTTCTGTTCCTAAACAATTCAGAAACTCGTCAAGAATCGACTGCAACCACAAAGAAGCGAAGCAAGGTAGAGCCTCTGTATCAACGTGAGAGTATACACATAGCCCTGCTAATTCCTCGTGGCTCAAGCTCCCTTTGAACCCCCTCAGGCACCCTTTCTTTCTACTTAGGGCTTTCCATTGTTTAACCCCGTGGCTGGATCAGAACCAGAGATAAACACAAAACTCCAAGAGTGGGAAACAAGGGGATCTCTGCGTGCTAAAGCCAGCCCTAGTGAAGATGTGAAACTCCCAATGCACAATAATGCGGAGTAAGTTATGAATTTAATGCCTCCTGTACTTCATTTTACACTACTTGCCAGACGCATCCAACCTCGCTGAAGGCATTCAATTCCACACGGCTCCCCTACAGAAAGCGTACTGAACATCATCCAGAGGCCTTCCTGTGATGGCATCACAGCACTCTCGAGCCATCAGTTCTGGTATCTCTACGCCGGCTAAGGCATTTTTAACTTTAATCAATACAGTTTTACTTCAGAGACACCAACAATGATGACAGCTGTGCAGTTTGCCATTCTGGGAAAAGGGCTACAGAGAGGTAGACATTATTTAAGCAGCAGGATATTTTAGAGCAAGACAGAAGACACTTTTATATGCAAGCAGAAATAGAGAAGGAAAAGGATGGAAGGTTCCTGCTTCATCTGCAATACTAAGAAAATTAAGACTCACAGAAGGGATGGGACTAGATTGAAAGGAAGAGCTCCAGACCTGTTTTATTCAAATATTGAACTCTTGGCAAGTAAAATGCAAGTGTAGCTGCAAAATTCCTTTCCAAGATCTATACCCCTTACATTTTACCACATGTGTCACCAATAGAGTTAAGCTGTGAGAGTGACCACAAGCAGAAGGAACTGTGAGGAAGCAAATATTAACAACTGCCAATACAGGATACTGCTTTTACAATAGCTTGGCTGTGGAGCTCCATGTTCCGCAGAAAGGCTCAGATGAGCAACCTGAGCACACCTCACAACCTGAGTTAGAAACACTGACCATCTTCTCAGGTCTTGGAAGTCACGGGATCAAGTTGCAAGAAACCTATTAAGACCACTTCTGATCCTAGGACAATCCTACAACAAGCTAGAAAAGTTATGACTTCCCATATGTAAAACTCTACCAAGCTTATACCTTCTGCGTGATCCGGGAGGTAAGTCAGTCACAGCAAGCACCTTTAGGGCATTACAAAACATAAGTCGGACCAAACTCTGCTCATCTTTAGCAAAGCTACACAGCAGACAGCGATTTTTAAAAGGACAAGAAGTACCCAGGGCCCAGGTGACAAAGTGGGCATTTGTTAATGAAATCTGCATGGAGTTTGAGGCACAGAGATTGAGGCTCTTCTGGACTGTGCTTTTAATGCGGCTGTGTTGCCTCCATTAGAACCATTCATCAGGGATACAGCAAATTCTTAAATTCCCATCCTTCCTATTTCCTATAGTAAACTGTCCAAAATGCAATACTTCCTTATCAAACTCTTGGCAGAACTGTATGTCAGCAAGGCACCTAAACCTACATTATGGGGAAAAAGTCTTAAATATGGAAACATCTTTTTCCTTGTAGAAGCTCAGCCTCGAGCAAGGCAGGATAAAAAAAGCCCTCGTTGCAAACAAATTTTCCCTTACCTGTTCTTGCTCCTTTTGCAGTTCTTGGCTGTTCTTAGACTTCTTTGGCTTAGAAGGGCCTCCAGGGCTGGCAAAAGTTGTTGGCAGCTTTGAAGATGGCATATCTAACCCAAGAGATGGTACAGCTACAGAAGAGTCCCCCAAACGTTGCCCATCTCCAAAAAAAGGGACAAACGGGGTAGACTCAGGCTCTGAGGAAGGCCACAGCTCCTCCAAACTGGCATGAGATTCTCTAATCGAGTCTTGCTTGTCTGTGCAGCTGTTTAAAGACATGGCCACATCCCCATGGTCCAAGTCCTTTGGGAATGCATTTGCTTGAGGTAGCGGCACATCCACTGTTCCTTCAATAGAGCCTGGCCTCACTGTCAGCTCATTACACGGCACCGTGGCACCCACAGCTTCCTCCCGACCTGATGAACTGCATTTCTTCATGACAACTCTTAAAGAAGACAGCAAAAGGAATAAAACCAGAATCATTTATACTGCCCTCCCCATTCTCAATGTGACCATGACACAAAGACGACAGCTGGACTCAAATACACCCCTAATTTAATGATCTGCTTCTTCCAGACACTCACAGAGAACAAGTTCCAGTTGCTCTGAAGTTAGGGGTGGGGTGTTTGTGCGAAAAAACAGAACAGGAACTACCCGCTCCACAGGAAGAAAATTGTCTTCCAGGAAAAAACAGCAGTCAGTTGTAAAGCACAGCTTCTAATCACTCCTGCCTTCTGTATATACTGCAAAGAACTGGCCAGGAGATCACAGAGACTGCCACTGTCCCCCACCTCACCCTCCCAAACAGTCAGCAGGAGGCACTGCAGGGATTGGGAGTTTAACGCCTGAAATCCAAAGCAGGGAAGAATGAAGTGGTAGATGTTTGGCCTCTGAGACTTTTAACTTTGAATTGTCTGTTTCACTCAGAGAAAAAAAAAAGAATGAAAAAAAAAAAGAAAAGAAAAAAAAAAAAAGAAGCAAACAAGCCCCTTTAATCTGCACATGACTGGTCAGTGCCAGCATCTGCAGCTGTGGGAAGCACATCTGGGCAGCAGTTTCAGATAAACAGGCAAATGCAATAATTACCAAGTGGCGCAACGTTTGTCTTTTTGAACTTTTTTTGGTGCTTTTTTTTTTTTTTTTTTTTTTTTGGTATTTGAAACAAAACAAATTCACCACCAGAGTGGAAAGGAATAATAAAGAATCCAAACTTTGCTCCTCCCAACCTGATGATGGCACTGCCTCCAGTCAGGCCAAGTGACTTCAGCGTTGTCTTCTCTAGGGCATCTTTTCCTGATATCTGCAACAAAACCAGAGGAAAGTGATTATGGCAACTGCCTGCCTGGGAGAGCATTTAAAGTGCCTTCTCTAGAAAGAAGCCCATACCAAAACAAACAACACACAGCACCAGGAACAGCTCAAAACACACTCATTCTGCCGTTGGAAATGAGACCTGAATCCATCCGCATTCACCTGTACTGCTTTACCAAACTCACTGCTTATTAAACGGTGTCAAGGGAAGATGACCTACATATATTTCTGTCCCATGCATACATCCAAATCAGATCCGACCTCAGCAAAGCATTATTTTTATGTCAGGAGTCAAATCACAGGCAACATCCCAGAGCTGAAAGACAGTTGGTTTCATTACATACACCTCCCATCTGCTTGTAATGACCTGCTCCGGAATAAAGAAGTTCTGTCCACAGAGGTCAGTGGGAAGTGAAGGGGACAGCTAGGGAGAGCAAATTCCGTAATACACACATACAAAATATTAAACAAAACATTAATAGCAAAAGATCAAAACACAGAGAAAAGCAAATATTTATTAAAATGAAACCACTGTTTTGACTCGAGCTTTAAAAGAAGTTGGAAAGAAAAACACAAACAGGTCATTGAGCTCATTTTATGGGCTCAGAGGTCTAAATGGCCCAGGGTTACGTTCCAAGAGAGCTTTTTTTTCCATATAGACACGTCATGCTTTGAAAAGACCAACATTTTTCTACTTCCCCTCTCAAGAAAGTTCAAAAGAAACACTTTCCAGGTTGGAAAGCAGAACTGAGTTTTTCTTGGGTTTTAGGGACAGAAGGACAAGAGACAGTTAAGATGACTTTGCTGACTTACCTCATCTCGCATGTAAATACAGACTGGGGAGAATTCACCATGCTGCTCCATAAGCTCCCTGCAATAAAGAGCAAAACATTGCAGCATCTGTACAAGTCTACCCCCTCCAGACCCAATGTCGAGCAATAGTAAGAAGCGAATTTAGCCAGCAACACTCTCCTCTATTTTCCTCCAGCAACAACCATTACACAGTTCAAGCGTCAGTATTAGACATTAGGTAAAGAATTTGCTCCAATGCATTCATTGCTCCTAAAACACAGCCCTGAAAGTTTAAAAACAAAGGAGAAATAGTGAAAGTTAATTCTGAAATTATTCGATCTTACTAGATAAATCTGAGCACATCATTCTCCACGTGCCTCAGTACCCGATCTGCAACATGACTTAATAACACTTGCTCTTTTTAATCCTGTATCTAAATTGAATAGTTTATTACCGTTTAGACTGTACTTTCCTAGGGGACAGGTCAGTTTCTTTCCATGTATGCACAGCAACAGACAGAATTAAGTACTGCTCTAAAGCAAATAACCTGAGGACAAAGAGTTTGCCTGCCTTAGTATCAGACAGACTAAAACATGAAATTAAGGAGAAGAATACTTTGCTTCTCCTGCCCAGCACACCAATGGCAAAAGGTGACCCCAGGAGAACACTGTCCATGCTAGACAGTGGCGGGTCAGAAAGAGAAAGCCCGGGATTCTCACAAGATTTTTTTTTTTTTTTTTTTTTTTTTTTTTTTTTTTAAAGTTTTAGATTCAAAAGTTTCAGCCTCACTTAACAGGGGAAACTACAAAACAAGAGGTGAGAAAAGCTGGCCCATCAACACAATGAGAACTGATGAGATTTATCCTTCTCCGTAACACTCCAGGAGCTCGTTAGCACATTCTGTCTCAGTTGTGCCAGGACAGCCCTTGGTAAGGAGCTGGTATACACCATCTGCACTGCAACAGCTGCCTTATTGCCAAAAGCAAACCAGCTGAAATCCTTCCTCATGGTAAACTTCCCTTGATCTTAGTGCTCTCTGGAGTCCAGTCGCTGGAGGGGGGGGGGAAATGGCTTTCCCCTCTGCCTCACCCCACCAGGAAACAATCGCCCATCATCTTGGGTGACTCGAAGAGAAACCACCTCTCTGCAAATCAGCTAATGAAATCCACCCGGCAGCCCAGCAAAGCGACACATCCTCACTGATCTCCTGAGGCCTCCGACAAAAGAGGCTGCAGCTAGTCCCTGAAGTCCACTTGTCATTTCATGCCCTGTTACGTCGATATTGACTCGTGAGGAGCTCTGCAAGTGACTGACTTACAGGGTGATGGGGACACTTGCACTTAACTGCCTCTTCAGTCACCAGGTTCTGGTTTCCGCAGTGAATTCCACAGGAAAAACCAAAACCTGTGGGACCCTACCTGAAAAAAAAATCCAGTATTTTTCACTGGAAATGAGAAGTTTTGGAAAGATATTTCTACTGCAGCCATTTCTCTGCCTTGTTTGTAATTCTGCAGTAGCAGTCATAGCCACACATTCTCCTAAATGTATTTGCAAAACATTCATCGACTTGGTGTCCAAGTGTCACAAAACGTAAGCAGGAACTCAGACTGCTTACATCTAGTGCATCGCCTACACGTGCCACTTGTACCTTCAGGGTATTCTCTATCTTGTGCTTTAATTTGTGAGCATCATACCTGGAGGATGGAACAGGGAATGACTGTAAGAAAAGGATGTCAGTGATCAAGGCTGGGTTCATTCTCGCTTTTCCTGGAAAGGAGTTTAATGAACAGAGTTCCACTACTTAAAACATTCTGCCTTCAGCATTGTGCAATTTAAATGTATGTATTTTGGGATGCAACATTACCATACATAAAGGTGTCTCCAGGGTTTATGTGGGAAAAGGATCCTTTAAGTCACAGTCAAAGTCCATTCAGTCAATCAAGCATCTAATTCTGAGGTGACTATGTACATTACATAATGTGCTGTGGCTGTGCTGTGGCCACTCTGACTACTGCTGTTAGAAAGGCTTCTACTTCGTAACTGGTAAGCCCACAAGCAGGCATGCAAGAAGCCCAACCATTATGGAAAGACCACCTTAAGGCAGGGATAACATTTTCTGCTCAGGTAACAAAAGAAAATAACCCTTAGCACTTTAGCAATCTGCTTGCACAGCAAAAGACAAGAGTCTGCGTACCCAAATGCATCTTACCACTTTCAATGCAGACCTTCCAATAACCTTGAGCATCATCACAATGTTCAAAGTTACTTAAGAATAGCTTTGCCAATATTATCTTATGTAGTCTTTCTATTATGTCCAAAATACATCACAGGTGAGCAGCTTAGAAGACTACGTATACAATCAATGTCTTACGTAATATTTTAACATGAAATCTATTTAGCCCAGCACAAAGTGACAAAACAAACTGAACGGGGAAGGAATCAATCAGTCTACAGAGTAGAAAATTAAGGTAAATAGCCATTAAGTTCTGGGAAAATTAATCAAGGACATTTACATTTATACTCAAAACTCAGCTTCAGTGAAATGTAAGTGAAATCGGTGGAACCAGAAGTCACTCAGGATCGAGAGCGCCACCTGGAAAATTGTGATACTCAGTCCTTGAGTAATCCTCAAGAGCACATCAAAGAGTTCCAGCTGGAGGATGTGGGAGAGCAAACCTGTTAAGCACAGACCAAAATTGAGACTTCTGTTTGGTTTAATTGTAGCAGTCCATATCCCGCCTTGATCTAAAGGTTAGAACTTAAAGCATGAGACAGCATGGTGATATGGGACAAGGTGAGTCACAATGAAACCGAGGAGCTCCACTGGCTAGAATTAGCAAATCCAAACAGAGTAACCTGTAAAACCAGTCCTGAGGGTCGGGTCTGATTTAACTAAGTCAGGGGCTAAGAACTACGTCCAGACCAGCTGCAACAGATCACAGGGGGTTTATAGTCCTGAGGTACCATTCTTTCAGAACACTTCTCCCAGCCACTGCACAAATCCCATTGTGCAGACAGCAACAGACACAACCAGAGCATCCAAACTACAATGTAGTAGCTTCAGGTTATGAAACACAGTCCCCTTTCTAACTCAAGGTGAACCAAAACAACACTAGAACCGGCCTGCCACCATTTGCAGTTCTGCAATTAGTTTCTCTACCAAGGACAGAAAGCCTTATCAACGCTCTGCAGGAATCAAGAGATTAAGTTCCTAATTTAGAATGAGCACAACCTTGTGATTCAAGACCCACGTTCCGACCCCCCAAGCTCCTTTCGCAGCAGTAACTGAGTAAGTCCCAGAGGCCAACGCTTGATGAAGAAAGGCAGAAAAAAAATCTTGTCTCTTGATTGGAAGATTGGAACAAAACAGCACCTAAGAGACTACCTTTAGCACACTGTCGCAGGCCATGTGCGCTCCAACCTTTCCAGACATTCCAGGAGAGCTAGTCATCCCTGCATTATTTTCAGTGCATTCTGCTTCCAATCCAGATTAGCTGTATCCCTGTACCAGAATCCTCAATACAAGTGCACAGAAGATAAAGGACTGCTGAGACGTGGAGGAAACAGTACAGAATCACAGAAAAGGCAGCCAAAACAGCCCAGAGGAATAAAAGGTTGAACCTGAAGTTGCCCATCAGGAAAGGCGGATGATCACCATTTAGGAGGAGAGAAGCTGAGGCACAACAGAGCACGTCCTCACCACACAGACCCATAAGAGAGCAAACCAATTCGACCTACACAACCTAGTTTCATTCACCTTTCCAAAACTGCTTTCCACATCAGTCCAAGCAACTCTTTGGACTAAAGAGCCTCCTAAAAATGTACGGAAAATATCTGAACTTAATGAGTGATACCACAAAAGTAGCAGAGTCATAGTCATTGTCAAAACTGTCTTCAAGGGTCCAGACTGCATCACTTCTATGTCAAACAGTCTACAAAGCTGCTGAAGCTGCCAGGCAGGCAAGAGTAGGAGACGGAAAAGCAACAGTTCTCCCAGGCCTAATGCTAAAAGGGGACATAACACTTGTGCCCTCAACCAGTCTCTGCAGAACAGACTCCAAGGAGAGATCCCCCAGAGACTTATATTTGTATAACTCTGGGAAGCCAGCAGGCTCCTCCTCCAGCTGCTGCTAATCCATTACATGCATTCACTGAGGCAAGCACACACATCAAACACACTGTCATTTCTTTGATGTGCTGTTCTTCAGAAGGGGAACGGCAAGCAGATTAGATTCCTTCATGTAGTGATCTGACAGGGCCTGTAAACATCTTGTGCAAGGACTGCCGCACGCTGAGAGGAGGAGCAGCCTTACAATAGCTTCCAGACCTTCTTCAGACCCAATTAGCCAAGATGGACGCTGGAAACCCGGGGGAAATTCCAGTGGATTTAGAATACTTCCCCTCACGCACTTAGAGCAGCTGAGCATTCCAGGAAAACATCTCCAATTGGAAAGTCAAAGGAAGGATTCAGCAAAAGTCAACAACTAGCTGACTAGTTAGTCGAGGAAGTCAATAGACACTGCGAAGCAGCACAGCCCATGGAATCGACACGGATGGATACAGATCCAGCTTGGTTTGTGATTGTCACACACAGCGTCTTTGCTGCTTGTTGAACTTAATCAGAAGTTTGCAAAGTCCATCCAAACATCTGAGCTCAGCTTCCAGAGGGCACAAAAGAGCAGCTGTGTCTTATGAACTGAAGCTAATAATGCTTAGCACACTGTAGCAGTTAGAATCTTAAAGAGAGCAGCATGTACATTAACTATTAGCATTACAATAACCTGTAACGAATAAAACCACTCCAAAGGAGCAAGAATATACAAAAAGCTCACATTTTAAACCAAAGAAATAACCAACTAATGTGCAAGAAAGCCACACAAAGGCTATTTGTCACTGTCTGTAATTACCACCCCTGCCAGTCTACCAGCTCCCAAACTGCAAACAGGCACTCCTCTCCTCCCAGAGAGCACAAATTATGTAGTAAGGTACAAGGGCCTTGAAACACGCAGGAAAATTATACCTGGCTTTTCTCGCCTACCTCTTTCCTCGATCAAAAGAAAAAGAATTTTTTTCTCTCCAGCATTTGCATGAAGACTTAAGAGTAAATGCCACAGTCTAGACCTAGTCCCTGACCACTAAAGGCGAAAAGAGAATAAGTAAGACTCATTTATATCACTTTAGAGTCACTAGACTACCTCAAGCATTTCCTCAAACTATGGTTTGATGATACAAAACGTTGAGTAGAAAAACTGTCATACGCCATTCCTACCCATCTGCTGCTTCCTCCTTTTGGATCCTTGTTTCCAGACACGCTACACTTCTTGTCATAACTGCCTGTGGGAGACAACCCTTAACTGGGGTAGGAAACTTACCTGCCTGAAAGATAATGTAGGGAA